GAATGCTGTGGGAAATGCTGTCAAAGGCTTTTTCCTTCCTTCTCCTCCTGCTTTGCAATGCTCTTTAGCCGAGCCTTTGCAGCTTACTCCCCCTGCCCTTTCTCTTATCAAACTGTCTTTATCTTGACACATGAGTTTTCTCACTTTTACCTTTCCACTCCGCTGCCATCCTGCTGTGGGGGAGTATGCGAGCGGCTGGGTAGGGGCTCAGCTGCCAGACAAGGTCAACCCAACCACAACATGATTTAACATCTGTAGGCCCCTGAATAGAGGACAGGCTGCACTGCCTTCAGGTTGGAGAGCCTAACCTGCCCTCACAGACACATCTAGGACTCACATCAGGTTGTTCATGTCTTCATTAAGACCTGCAGACATCAGTGCATCCCAGCGTGCAGTGCTAGTAGCAGATGCCATCAGCCTTTTGGGTTCCCTTGGAAAATGCCCAGTGTTATTGACTACTGGGCAACTTGACAGTCGAGTCTTGTTTGCAGGCACTATCTGCAAGGCATTTCTCTTCACTTTGAACCTCTCTCTGTTCTCCTAGTATCAGGCATCTTCATTCAAACAAACATACTCATTTTTACAGCCAAAACCCCATGGCAGACTCTGAGGGCGATTGCTGTCTCATTCATACACAAAACAGCTCCAGCCCATTGCGCTGTGTCCACACCACATACTCATCTGGCCAGCACCAGGCCTTCCAGAGTCTCCAACGTGACCTTCTGCACACTGTCTGCATTTGCTGCACCTGGGAGCAAACACTTACTCCTCTCGTGTTCCTGCAGCCCGTCTCCAGCCCTTTGGTTCAGCTTTTAGCATCTCAGGTAAACCCACCAGTTTGAGAACAGGCTGACCAATACCAATCAATAGCTCCATTATTTTCTCATTTTAAGTTCCTTTCATACGGGATGTTTCTTCGGAGTTGGATTTGCCACTGACAGATCTCGCATGGGTCACTATTCTCTGCAGGCAGGATGTGGTTGGACTTGATGATCTTAAAGGTCTTTCCCAACCTTAATGATTCTGTGAAAAGAGCATCAGCTTCAAGCTCCAGCCGCCTGTGCTGGCTGGTCCTGCTTGGGTTTGCTTGGTTGTTTTTTTTTTTTAAATCTACCACTGGTTTCCTCCCACTGTTTACCTGGTTGCCTGAAGCGCATCCTCTTGCTAAAATACCACCTATCCAGGGATGAGACTCTTGAAAATGGCAATTCATGCCCTCCCACTCACACATTACTGTGATTATACCAACACAGGATGGAAGACAGATTGTTGCTTTTCCTTAATGTTGAGGAAATCATGGCAGTTGCACCCACGGGAGCAGATTTCTGCTGCCTTGTCCTGGCTTTAGCCTTTCTTCCCCTACTCAGGCAGAAAGTTCTTAAATTCCCAGACACAACTGTGCTATTGCACCTCTTCATCAGGTATCGCAACATCTTGCTCCGGGGGAAAGAGCGTGACACACCTCCTGGCCCGTCCCCACCTCAGCTCCCAGTCCCCTTGCCACGTCCCAGAGCACCTGGTCCAGCCCCCTCGCTGCGAGGGCACCAGCGTCCCTGAGCACCCGGCTTTTAGCATGCCTGTTATTTTTTTCCAGCACCATTATCACCAAATCTCCGTCTTCTCTAAAGCCGTTACCACTTAAAGGCAAGTGCACCTCGATTCCCACTTACGGAGTTTCGCTAATAATTCTTCCTTGATTAAGCAATGCTTAGTTTTGCAGCGGAAAGCCCTAAGCTGATCTGTGCCTGGAAAAGGGCAGCCAGGATTCTTGGAAAAGGATCACGAGAGAGAAAAGAGCTGTTGGAGCCCCCGGGGACCTCCGCCCGACCCACAGCTCCCTGCCCTCCCACCTCCCCTGGGGAGGAGCAAATGACTCTCCAGGGCAGCTCTGCCCATTCCGCCGATGTTTTTGCGGGTACGATGCGGGCAGGGAGACCAAACGAGTTCCCAACTCCCCCAGTGACCTTCAGAGCAGCCCCTAAGAGATCGGCCAGCCCGAGGAGAAGGTTTCCACTCAGCACGGGTCCGAACCCCGCCGTAGAAGCGGGACGTTCTGCTGGCGCAGGCTGAGCTCTTGCCCTCTGTGCGCTCAGGCTGCACATTTAATACCGGACCCCGTTCTTTCCCCTGCAGCGCTCCCATCGCTACAGAGATGCTCATTTAAAGCGCAAAGCCTTGACTTGTTGCCCAGAGGGAGAAACAGCCTCTTTCTCCATTAGAAAAACTTAAAAAAGAAATGAACCCCCCCAACCCCATCTAACACCGGAGGAGCCTTGGGAGGGGTGTGGAGCAGCACCCACCCCTCGCACCCAGCCACGGGCGCCCATCGGAGAACCTAGGAGGGAACCATCTCAAAGAGGTTGGGGCACGCTCGTTGCTGCCCAGCGTTATTTTCTTTAGGCTTAACAGATTTCTGGCTATAAAAATTTCCACGGCTAAAGCAGCAGTTACCGACGTACGTTATTTCACGCCGGAACCCCGGTGCGGCTGCCA